ATATTTCAACATATCCCAAAACATAGTGTAAGATACAACCAATAATGTCTCCATGAGCAGAAAAATTTCTGATGGATTTTATGTTTTGTTTTGTTTTTTATGCTGTTTTCTTCCATACAGGCCACTATATTTCAGGTATGAAGTTTTTGCACAGGATTAAACAGAACCTAAAATCTTGGCAAAAAACCTGTTGCTACTCTGTTAGAAATCAGACTTTGGAGAGACACATTATCTGTCACATACCCATTGTTATCTCTCAGTATTTCATCATCATCACTGGCCAGTAGAACAACTGAATCATCCACTGGTGTGGAGAGAAGTGGGTACTCCTGGTTCTGCTCCCACTGCAGGTGGGTAGAAAGGGTAGCAGTTTAAGAAAACATGTTAAAACCCTCCTCCTTACTCCCCTGTTTCAGTTCCCTATCTGGATTTAGGCTGCAGGCAAATCTTTCCCTCTTTCTCTCAAAAAGGCAAATTAAGTTGTGTTAGTTGTGTTAGTGTGTTATAAAAATTTCATATCAGGTGAAGAGGTGATGAAGAAAGAAAGCCAGAACAGGAATTGGGAGGAAAGAATTCCAGTTTGCTGGTCTATGGGCACCAGACAAATAGAACTTGAATAGCCGCAATCTGTCAGTAGCTGCTAGAACAATGAGGAGCCCCCAGATCTGCCAGTGCCACCTTGGCAACAGTTTCTCCCTCAGGGTTCACCAGCAAGAAGTGATTTGGAGGGATGAGCTACTTGGAGCTCCAAAGCAAGGGCTGTGCTTTGAGCCAGCTGCCCACAGCATGCCACACGGGCCAGCTGAGCTGCGCAGTTCCCTCTCTGCCCCATTCCCCTCCCACAGAACAGAAACTATGACAATACATGGATCCTCACCTCTAAGTACTCATCCATCCAGTCTGGAGAACTAAGAGTACCTGATGGCCATGCACTAGAGAGAACACAACCAGAGGAACTTGCAGCCATTAATTTCACCACACATAGAGGGTTACAGATACACAGAATGTCAGAAATTAAAACATCTACTCTGATTTAGCAACACTCCAGCCCACCAACACAAAAATTCCAGAAAACTCTTATGTACTAAAAGCATTTCAGTGCATCTCAAGCCATAATATAAGATACATTCATTAATGACTTAATGAACAGACAAGACATGTTTCTGCTGGATTTTGCTAGTCTTTTTTTTTACTTAGTTCTCTTCCAGACAGGATATTATATTCTATGTCCAAAGATTTTGTACAGAATTAAGCAGAACCCAGAAACTTGACAAAAACCTCTTTCTACCTTATATCAGAAATTGGTCTTTAGAGAAATACACTTTATCTCTCACATACCCATCACTATCTTTTGGTTCCACATCTTTCTCACTTGCCAGTAGAATGGCTGAATCATCTTCTGTTCTGGAAACAAGTGGATGCTGCTGGTTTTGCTCACACTGCTAGAACAGGTTAAAAACAGAGGTAACTTAGTAATCATATGAACACCTTTTACTCTGCTCCTTTGTTTCAGTTTATGATTGGATTAGACTGTGTTTCTTTCCCTCCTTCTCCCACAAATGGGCAATTTCAGCTGTGATAGCCATTAAGTCTCTGTATGAGATGAACAGCTCCTGAAGAAAAAAATCCAACCCCAAACCCATTCTTAATTTTGCAGAATTGGAGTTGGGACATGTAGATTCTTACATAAAGTTCAAGGCCTTTTCAACTTCACTGCTGCGTGTTTCTGCTTTGCACAGCAGAAGTGGCATCCCAAAACTCAGGGGATAAACTACCCTATGGGCTGGATCTTTGCAGATTCTTCTTGGAGTAATAAATAGAACTGAATTAATAAACTTTAAATACTTCTTGGAATAATAAACAATTTGTACCCCAGCCAGTACCCAGGTGTGCTTGGTACTTAAGTGACAGGAGTACCTCAAACCAATGTTGCAGCTAAACACTTCATATTTGGGAAGTCAAAGGCTTCCTGTCCTCTTCTTTACTTTTTCTTTAAATCACTGGCCTTTATCTTGGGTAGCCCTAGTACAGCTTCAGCTTTAAATTGGCTCCTTCAATTGCCTATGATTAGTAAACATTCTCCCCAAGTTTTGGAGCAACAAGGTCTTTTTCACTCTCTGCAAGTGATACCCAGAGATGCTGATGCATTCACAGGTGCATTTGGGGTTAACTGGGAGCTCTGTCTAAAGTAGGTAAATCAGAGCTGTGTTTCAGCCCTGAATGTCAGACTGAACATTTAGATGCCAGAAGACAGGCCTGGCAGCACAAGAGAAAACTAATTTAGCTGTGAGATGGAGAGAAGCATGTAATTCACTACTTA